CGAAGGAAATGCCAGGCGCTCAAACCCATGTACAGCATGATGAACGGGCTGGGCTTCAACCACCTCCCGGACACCTACGGCTTCCAGAGCTCCGCGGGCGGCCTCTCGTGCCCGCCCAACAGCCTGGCGCTGGAGGGCGGCCTGGGCATGATGAACGGCCACTTGCCGGGCAACGTGGACGGCATGGCCTTGCCCAGCCACTCGGTGCCACACCTGCCCGCCAACGGCGGCCACTCGTACATGGGCAGCTGTGGCGGCGCCGCGGCCGGTGAGTACCCGCACCACGACAGCTCCGTGCCGGCCTCCCCGCTGCTGCCTGCGGCCGCCGGCGGGGTCATGGAGCCGCACGCGGTCTACTCGGGCTCCACGGCCGCCTGGCCGCCCTCAGCCTCTGCCGCGCTCAACAGCGGCGCCTCCTACATCAAGCAGCAGCCCCTGTCCCCCTGCAACCCCACGGCCAACCCCCTGTCCGGCAGCCTCTCCACGCACTCCCTGGACCAGCCGTATCTACACCAGAACAGTCACAACGCCCCAGCCGAGCTGCAAGGTGAGTGGGGGGACCAGGGCTGTCCCGGTCCCGGGGGCCTCCGACATCCGGACATCCGTCGTCGGCGCGCTGCTCCCGAGAGCAGACGCCCAAACCGCCCACCGCCCCGGGCGAGAACTCTCGGCCACTTCCGCGGGGTGCCGGCCCCGGTGCTTGGGGGAGGCAGCGGCTCGCCAAGCTACGTCTTGGCCGGACCTCCCCCACTTTGAGGGGTGAGCGCAGGGAGGAGGGCAATTTGGGCCACGATAATTGTTGCTTCTCGTTTTCGGTTCCAACTCCCCGCTGCTGGTAGCCCCCAGCCTGGCCAAGTAGGCCCCTTCCTCGCCAAAAAAGACTCAGACCCCGATGTTTTACATCCCTTTGGGTCCTCAGCCCCCTCACACACCTCAGCAAGTTCCCAGGATATGGAGCGGGAGCCCGGCCCTGGTCGCCTGGCTCCGTAGTCCCCACCGGAAAGCTGCCTGGGCCGAGAGGGAGAGTTAGGCCCCAAGCTGCCTGGGCCGGGTGTTCAGAGGCCCAGCACGCTGGGCTCCTGGGGAACCAGGCCTGGCCTTGGGAATGTCGGGTTGGGGCACATTTTGTGGTGACAGAGGCACACAGGGGCTGTGGCCAGGCCCAGACCAAGTTAGAGGTGCAGGCCCCACAGACTCTTTGTTTCAGAGCTCCGGGCTTTCTGTTCCCCAGATACCCTCTTCCTCACCCCTCCAAGGAGGACGCCTCCAAGGGGGAACAGCTTCCCGCCCGGCACCCTCCTCTGGCACCCGCCAGCCTCCCTGGGTCTGGTTCTGGAAAGGGCTCGGAGGAGCTACACGGGGCCTGTCAGGGCTCAGCTGTCAGCCGCCCAAGGGAGGCAGGAGCCAGCCTGGAGGCTGGAGGGCCACCCCTCCGCGGGGATCGCCCTGCTTCAGACTCCCGGCTCTGGCTGCCTCTCTTCACCCCGGGGCGGGGGGCAGGGGGCCTTTTTCCAAGGGGCTCTTCCCCTGGAGGAGCCTCCCGTCGTCGTGTACCAGGGCCTCGCAGCCTTTGGGGTTGGGAGGCGGGTGCCCCGGCACCGGGCACAGGCCTTGGGCTGGCCCTGGAGGTGGAGGCCAGGCTGTCCTTGCGGTCTCCTCGCCTGCGGCGGCCCCCTCACCCCTTCCCCTGTGGCCTCGGGAAGCCCCAGCCCAGGACTTGGTGACGGAGGCGGAGGAGGCCCAGGCCGCGGCACCCAGGAAACAGTGCTTGTCACTGGGGTCCCGGGATCTCCTGCTGGAGCGCAGAGCCCGGCCCGAACCCCCGGGGCCGCCTGGACCCGCCTGAGGCCAGAGCTCTGGGACTCTGGCACCTCGGTGGGCCGTAGGGAGGGAGTGGGCCCCCGCGCCCGGGGCCTGGAGGCCGCCTTCTCCTCCTGGAGCCCTGGGCCCCATCCTAATGCTGTGTTCCCTGCTCTCCTGTCCCTCCTCTGCAGGCATCCCGAGGTATCACTCCCAGTCGCCCGGCATGTGTGACCGCAAGGAGTTCGTCTTCTCCTTCAACACCATGGCGCCCTCGTCCATGCACTCGGCGGGCAGCGGTTCCTACTACCACCAGCAGGTCACCTACCAAGACATCAAGCCCTGCGTGATGTGAGACCACAGCCCGCGGGGCCCTCTGGGCACGGGCGGCCCGGCCCGGGGACCCGGAACCCGTCGCAGAAACTGCTCTATTCTTGAGGTATAACCGTAGGCAGAAGACAAGGGTCTGACCCCTACCCACCCGGATTATTTGGAAAGGAGTCCCCAACGCAAAGGAAGAGCCAGCTCGGCGGCACCCACTCCCTCAAAAAATTAACAAGTGGTGGCTGAGGGGCCTGGTCTGACTGCAGCTGTTGGTAAATAAAAATCTATTTTTGAACCAGTTGAAGCCGGCTGAGAAGGTGCTGTGCTGGGGGAAACCCTCGACACCCAAACAAGAAAGCAGCTGAGGTCTCTCCCCGCCTTCCCTCCAGCGGCGAAGGTGGGGGAAGGCTTTCGGAAGAAAGGCAAACATGTGAGACCATCATTATCAAATACTTTTATATTTTGGTTGAGTATTTATCTTTTTACTTTTACTTTTTTTTTTTTTTTT